ATATGTTCTGAATACCATTATATATGAACTACATAAGTCTGCTTCTTATAAGAGTAAAAGAACCCGGATTGATTTCTGCTTTTGTTTAATTTTACAGAAAAATATGCCAAAATTTAATAAAATTCCTTTCTACCTCCAACCTCATTCCTCTTCTGGAGCAAAAACTTTAAAGAAGTAAGTATTCAGCAGCAGAGAATAAAAATGTTCCCAAGCTCAATTCGGTTCAGCTTGTCAACTCAACACCACATCCACTTTGTCCCTAGGGATCGGCTTTCAGCCAGCGACATGTTGCAAGTTAGGAAGGTGATGGAGCACGTTTACGAAAAAATAATAAACCTTGACAACGAGTCACAGACAACAAGCTCTTCCAATAACGATAAAACTGGGGAACAAGAAAAAGAGGAAGACATTGCAGTCTTAGCAGAGGAGAAGATTGAACTCTTGTGTCAAGATCAGGTACGCAGCTCTGGGCTCCTCCTAGAAAGAAAAAGGCTGGGGTGCAAATAGGACAGGGATAGGCGTCCTTGGCTCTTTTATGACTCATGGACTTCAACTCCCAGAATTCCTGAGTCAGCTATGCTGACTCAGGAATTCTGGGAGTTGAAGTCCATGAATCATAAAAGAGCCAAGGTCGCCTATCCCTGAACTAGGGAAAGTCTAAATCGGTGCTTCCCAGCCTTGGACAGTTGCAGTTATTATGGATCTTCATTCCCAGAATTGGGAAACACTGATATAAACATAAATTGTCCTGTACAAAAAAAAATAAATAAATAGGAAATCGGGATAGCCTGGAGTTCTGTCAATTACATATATGACAAAGGTATAATTATATTCAAAGATTTTGAATACTGATTCAACAACTGCTCCCGAAGGGTACTCCCCAACCCCAAAGAATGAAAAGATACTCCATTAAATCAATTTATCTAGCTGGCTAAAATGGTTAAAATTTAGCCATTTTAAGATGCTGACTGGGGAATTGTGGGAGCTGGTCCATACATCTTTAACTGGCCATAATTGAGAAAATTCTGTGTTTAATGGCAAGGCTTCTCCTATTGCTTAGTAGATTGTCTCAACTATGAAGTGGGTGGATACGAGTTTGAATTTATTGCCTGGTATCATCTAGAAATTTATTTTTTCTGGAATCTATAGATAAGGAGAAAGTCTTCTCAATAAGGCAAAATTTCCTTGGGCAACAAGCAAACCATGATTTCTTCACAAAGGGGTCTCATTGTGAAGGGAATAAGTCTGGCCATCTAACTGAGGTGGTTTCAGATCTATGCTTCTAGTCCATGAGATAAACTGAATTACAGGTAGTCCTCAACAGAAGTTTATTTAGTGACTGCTCAAAGTTACAGCGGTACTGAAAAAAGTGATTTATGACCAGTTTTCACACTTATGACCATTGCAGCATCCACTTGGTCACATGATCAAAATTCAGATGCTTGGCAACTGACTCCTGGGTCATGTGATCATGTTTTGTAACTTTCTGACAAGCAAAGTCAACGGAGAAGCCAAATTCACTTAACTACCGTATCACTAACTTAAGTAGTGATTCACTTAGCAACTATGGCAAGCAAGGTTGTGAAATGGGACAAAGCTCATTTAATAGATGTTTCACTTAGCAACAGAAAGTTTGGGCTCATTTGTGGTCATAAGTCGAGGACTATACTTATTTTGAGCGTGGTCCTGAAGCTTGCATTAGTACTTGGAAGAGAAAGTTGCAAGCTTCTGACGAAGTTAAGAACAAGGAGTATACTTCTTCAGCTGGGGCATAATTACTTCGTAAATCTAAATTATTATTTTATGTATCACAGGTTTTGGATCCAAATATGGACCTTCGCACCGTCAAGCATTTCATATGGAAAAGCGGGGGTGACTTGACCCTTCATTACCGACAGAAATCAACGTGAGCCAAATGGTGGAACCCAACTGGTTACTAATTCGAGCTTCCCATGCTGGGTCCAGCTTAGTACTCTAGAAGCCCACTTAAATGCTAAGATCTGACACTTTTAATGACTCAGCGCAGACAGAATCTACTTGAAGTGACTAATAAATCTGTAACATAGATGAAATTGGTATGACATAAACTCAAGGTGGTCAGTAGCAAGGTCGAGCAAGAGTGATTTAAGAAGCCCTTGACTGGTCCCTGTTAAGGTGCCTACAAAGATAAGGTGACCCAGTGCAGGTAATCTGCGTGATTTTCCATTTATTTCCAAGATGATCGTCCTTAATTCACTCGAGCTTGCTATGAAAAAAATTTTCAGTCCTGCTGCGAATTCATTTTCAGATTATTATTTTTTTTTTTTAGAAAAAACCCTGCATGTACTGTATTTTGCTAATACATTCCACATAGTGAATTTTGACCACTTTGCCGGATAAATCTACTTACCATGCAACAGATTACTCTTTTTGAACAGTTTTTGTAGTCTAGACTGAAGGGGCTAATGCCCTTGTGGATGATTATCTTTCATCTGTGATTTTTCTAGGAAAACATTTTGATACTGACTCAAGAATCAGTAAGCTATTACAGGGGTCAGTTCAATGCGTGAACATCACAATTAATTCATTCAGCATCTTTAACTAGAGTTAAAAAGACATAACTTCCATTGTGCTAGTTCCATAGGATCACATTTGACAGAAAACTTGTGTGATAGCAAACAAAGGTTTTCCTCAAATTGTTTTATATATATTTTTGTTGATGTTATGAGCTGTACACAAACTATGCCCAACTTGGCTTTTTATTTTGCACTGTTTCTAAAAAGAAAAAAAAGTTTGACAGGTCTTTACTATTTGATTTGTACTTCAGTAGAGTCTAATTTATTGTAGAAGGTGGAAGCACCCCAATGGCCAAACAAGAAAAACTAAATTTGTTTTAATTGTAACAGAAGTGTTCTGATAATAGTGTAATAGTTTTAGTTTGAAACAGAAGCACAAATGTCTTTTTAAAACACAGTCTGATAAACCTGGATTATTTCTTTCCCTTTCCTCTTGAAATTAACATTCTTTCTTTCCCAATGAGTGTTGGATTTAGACCACACTGATAAGATATTGGAGATTTGTTCGAACTGTAGGGGCATAAGGAAGAAAACTTTGTTCCGGCTTTGTTTTTGCAGCATGGAAGGTGCTTGTGCACTCCCCATACAAGTAGAGAGGAGCAAGGAGTGAACATTTGATCTAACAGTCCCATTGAGGCTGGACGTGAATTATACGAATCAGTAACAACAATATAGGATATTGTTTTATTGACTAATAGTAGGATATCTTTTGAGCTATTCAACTGTCTTTCTGAGTGTTTTTCCTTTCAGAACAGAATAATTTTTCTACTGACTGTTGCAGGGGAAATAGCAGCTCCCCCGTTTATATTGTGTGGTGTGCAACCACATATTTATTTACAGATCTTGCAAGGTTGTATGACTGTGGTGGTGCGGTTCAACATGTTCTGGTTGGCCACTTGTGCCCCAGCCAACTCAAGTCATGGTTGAATGTAGGTCTGGTTCAAAAGGATGCCTGCACAGGTCTTTCATACCTTGAAGCCTCTTACTTTGTGTAAATTTCATCTTTATGTACAGAAGTTATAGTCTGTGCAACATTGCAGTTGAGTGAAGTAGGTTAATTCATTGATTAAAGCTAACTGTAACTTATCCTGGATTATAATCCTTAAAAGTCTGTAATTCAAATTTTATACCCTCCATATCGCCACCAAAAGTAATTTTAACTGTTCTATTTTATTGTTTAAATTAGCCAAGATTTCAATTTTACTTTCTACACCCAGATGGAACCGTTTCAGAAAGATTAGCAGATGGCCTGCCAATGCCAAAAGAACAAATATGTACTTCACAATTGTATAGAAATTAAAAAAAACAAAACCTTTAGCTTAAAATTTTAAGCTGTTTTGAGTGTTTTCTTTTAAAGATGCGGTGTTGGTTTCACTGTTCCAAAAAGCAGAAGATTTGCTATATGAAAATGTTTTGAACTTGCCATGTAACAAGAAGTACTCATTGGGTATGGGAGATATTTATGATTTGGTGCATTTTTAAGAACATTTCACATTTTCATGAAAATAAGTCCTCAGGGCATGTTACAAAATTGGGCTCTGCTGCTTTCTTCAATTGAAATTTATTTATTTATGAGACTTATATACCGCTTTAAGTGCAAGCACTCTCTAAGCGGTGTACACCAGTAAGCAATGTATATATGTATATATTTACATTGCCCCCAACAATCTGGGTCCTCATTTTACCTACCCCGGAAGGATGGAAGGCTGAGTCAACCTTGAGCTGGTGAGATTTGAACCACTGACCTGCTGAACACAGTCAGCTAAAGTGGCCTGCAGCACTGCACTCTAACTGCTGCGCCACCTCTTAATGTATTGCAAAGTGCAATATGAGCAGAAGACAATAGCTGCTAATTCTTGACATTTCATCTTCCTGGCAGAACCCTGTGTGGAAATGTTGGAGAACTCTTGAGTGCAGGATGTTTGAAAGTAATAGGCTTGTTTAGATGGTTTGCTGGCATGGGCTTCAGTGTGTGAACACTGTTTACGCTATTCACACAGAACAAAGTGTTATTGCTGCCAGTTGGTTTCTGGGCAAAATTGCTCCTTTATTTAAAAAGCCATAAATGGCAGGAGGCCAGAAGAGTTGAAGAACCAGCTCCTCATTAAGTCTCCACATAGATCAGTGTTTCCCAAACTTGACAATTTTAAGGCATGTGGACTTCAACTCCCAGAATTCCACAGCCAGCAATGCTGGCTGTGGAATTCTGGGAGTTGAAGTCCACATGCCTTAAAATTGTCAAGTTTGGGAAACACTGACATAGATTAAGGCAAGATTTTTTTAACTCCCCAAAATCCTCAGCTAGTGTGCTAGGAGTCTGCATATCCTAAAGCTGCTGGCATTGAGAAATGCTGGTCTAAGATACCTTCCTTTCAAGCAGTCTGTGCTATTAATCAGTTGATGGGACTTTGGGGTAGGAATTTTAGTTATGTCAGAGACCCTTGGTTTAAGCAAATGGTACTTTATTTTGTTCAGCTTGCCTTTATATGGGCCTTCTGACTTAGGACTGGTTTCACAACAAATTTTAAACAATACACATTCCATTGTAAATCATTGCAAGACTTTAGTAGCTGACAACCTACCAAGTTAAAAAGAAATTCTAAAAACAATAGAATGGCTTCAGATTAGAATAAATCTCTTATCAAAGCAAACTTTCACAATCTTTAAAAGTAACTAAATGAAGTTTAAAAACAACCAACAGAAAATGATTCTTGAAAGCCCATTCCCACATGTAGGTCAACGTTCCTCAATCTCGGTCCTTTTAAGATGCAGGGACATCCCAGAATTCTCCAGCTGCTCCATGCTGGCTAGGGAATTCTGGGCGTTAAAAGTCCATACCTCTTAAAGTGGCTGAGGTTGAGAAACATTTGATTTAATGTCACCAATTTGCTCCATTATTCATGCTAGAAGCAATCTTGCTCATTTTCCATAGTGGCAGAAAAGAATGCTTCCACTTTAAGAGGCACCACTGCATTACCAGATGGTCAGTTATCTGCTTGGTAGCATGCATCTCAAATTAAATATTGATTTAGTGCCATTGTGCTAACCTCTGACTAGACTTAGAGTAGCTTGACAGTAATTGATCAGGGCACTGGCACCTCTAATTTGGAACAGAAATTAAAAACCCTACATTGCTAATGTCCTGATTCTTCAGCTACTATTTCAAGAGAGTTTTTGTGGGGCTGCATGTAAATTTTCTGCAGCAGCAAATAATGATTATAGCTCTCTGGGATGAAATATAAAACAGGTTAGGAGAAGTTCCCAGTCCAATGTACCTACACAATGAGACTGCATTCTTTTACACGTGGATACCTCTCTGGCTGAAATCCAAATCATCCCATTCGTGGGATCTGCTGGGGCAGGGAAAGCAGCATACTTCTTGGGGGTCTTGCATTGGGGTCTTAATTCTGCTCACACATTTCAGGAAGCTTTGGGGGCAGGTCAGAGGCTCAAATGGATCAAAGATTAAACAGGTTGATATGGGTGAGGTGGATTTTAGAATAAAAGATCATGCTGTTCTTCCCAAATTAAAACTTTTCAAATGAAATCATCTGAGGTCAAATTAATGGAATAAGAGACAGAAGTAACAATTAAATTTGCAAAGTTTACCCTTCCCCCCCCCCCCCCAAAAAAAAACTCAGCTTAAAAACTTTACCTTAAGGCAGGGATGAGCAACCGTAACAACTTTACAGCATGTGCAGTTCCCAGAATCCCTAAGTCAGGTGGCTCAGGAATTCTGGAAGTTGAAGTCCACACCTATTATCAATTTTTTTTTCTACATTTCTTATCAGCTGCACTTGGCCAAAAGCCTTCCCGCAAGGCAGGAATGAGCAACTATGGCAACTTTACGACAGGTGGACTTCAACTCCCAGAATTCCTGAGCCAGCTAGCTCAGGAATTCTGGGGCTTGGAGGTATAAGGAGTTTTCCTGCATTTCTTATCAGCTGCCACTTGGTAACAAGTGCTTCCAATCAGGTTTTGCTCCTTCTCTCCCAACTCTTGACAGCAACGGGGAGGGGAGGGGGGGAGAAATTTGGGGAGGAAATATGGAGCAAAATAGGTACAGCTACGCCAGAGACACCTCTTTTAAGATTTAAAAACTCAAAACAGTCTCAAACCCGCCCTCACAAATTCCTACCTGCCCTCTCTGGAAATGCTATGATGCAATTGGTATGGCTCATGGAGCCCACCCTTTTTTAAAATGTATGAGCAGGCTAGAGAAAAGAGGCTTAAAAAAAAAAAATCTGTTCCTCAACTCCAATCATTAGTGTTATTACCACTAAGCAGAACTAACAGAGGTATACAGACCCCAGAGTCAACCGATTGCTGCTATCGGGGTACAATAGTGTGACTGAAGGAAGCTGAATTCTACTGCGATTCAGAAACCAATCAAAATGTTTCTGCAGCACGTAAAACCAGGGCTTTCTGGTGCCAAAAGCTTCAAAGCCCAAAGGTGAAATATGTCCTCTGAAGGGCTAGGCCTCTTTGGTTTCAGCCATCGATTCCTGGGCACCTTTGTCGTTGCTGTCTGTTTTGGATAGTATGGGGGTCTCTGCCCCGCTGTGGGGCCGGACAGTTTCTTCAGCCTCAGCCTCCGGTCCAGATGGTGAGTTTGGAGACAGGTCCATAGGAAGGGGTGGCAGAGGAGACCCAGAAGGCTTTCCCTCGAGTAATTCGGGAGAGCTCTCGTCTGCTTGGAGAGAGACCGATTCTTCTGAGAATGGAAGAGAGGCCTGGTCTTTTTTTTTTTTTTTTTTTAAAGACAACATAAACAAATATTTTTAGTACAGGAAGTCCTCAACTTACAATAGTTCATTTAGTGGCTGAAGTTACAAGGGCACTGGAAAAAGTGACTTACAACCATTTTTCACACTTATAACCAGTGCAACAACCCCATGGGCACAAGATCAAAATGCAAATCTTTGGCATCTCTCTCTCCCTCCCTCCCTCTCTCTGTCTCTGTCTCCCTCCTTCCCTCCCTCCCTCTCTCTGTCTCTGTCTCCCTCCTTCCCTCCCTCCCTCTCTCTGTCTCCCTCTCCCTCCCTCCCTCTCTGTCTCTCCCTCTCCCTCCCTCCCTCTCTGTCTCTCCCTCTCCCTCCCTCCCTCTCTGTCTCTCCCTCTCCCTCCCTCCCTCCCTCTCTGTCTCTCTCCCTCTCCCTCCCTGTCTCTCCCTCTCCCTCCCTTTCTCTGTCTCTCTCTCCCTCCTTCCCTCTGTCTCCCTCTCCCTCCCTCTGTCTCTCCCTCTCCCTCCCTCTCTCCCTCCCTCTGTCTCTCCCTCTCCCTCCCTCTCTCCCTCTCCCTCCCTCTCTCTCCCTCTCCTCTCTCTCCCTCTCCCTCCCTCCCTCTCTCCTCTCCCTCCCTCTCTGTCTCTCTCCTCTCCCTCCCTCTCTGTCTCTCCCTCCCTCTCTCCCTCTCTCTCTCTGTCTCTCCCTCTCCCTCCCTCCGTCTCTCTCCCTCTCCTTCCCTCCCTCCCTCTCTCTCTCTCTTTCTCTCTCTCACACACACACACACATACACAAATAGGAAGCAACTTATTTAACTACTGCTTTCTTTAACAATAGACACAGTGGTCCCAACTGTGGACATAAGTCAAAGACTACCTGTATATGGTAGTATGTTGAAATCCTAATTCTCCTTGCCTGGATTTGATTATTTCTTGGGGATTTGTTGTTATTTGAGTTTATACCACTCTAATTACACAATTCCCACATCATTTTCACAATATATATATTATGAACCCTATGTGAGATAACAGCAGAAATAACAAATAAATTGCCACAGGCTATGATAAAACCCAACTAGCAGTGGGCCTTGATCTTTTTCAGTTCAATCCCAGCAGCCAAATGGCTTCCAACTCTGCTTACCAAAAGATGAATGAGTTTCACTGTATGTCGATAAACTGCCAGAAGGTTCCAGAACATCTGATAAAGTGAAAGGAGGAGAAGAAGAAGGCACGTGGGCTGTTTTTACTAAGTCAATTAATTCGGGAAAAGCAGCGCCAGACATATCTACAAAACCTGCAGGGAGAAGAAAAGACAAAAGGACAAAAACCGCCAGGGGTCCTCAACCTGGGCCACTTTTAAGACTTGTGGACTTCAACTGGATTACCTGGATCCATGACTCTCTGAACAGGAGGAGGAGGAGGAGCAGGAAGGGGCAGGGAGTTTTCTAATGAACGGGGGGTCACACTTTGACCCGAGATGTAGCCCAAATTCTCGGTTTCTTCAATGTTTAGGCTAGGGGACATCAAGGAAGCCTAAAATAAATAAAAGAATCCATTTTGAGAGCCTGTGAGATGACCGTGTCCCACTGCAATTTAGATGCCTCGTAGGTAGCTTCTTTATTGAAGAACAGAGGTGGATGGCTGAGTCCACAGATCACTCTAAATCAGCGATTCTTAAACTTTTTGAACGAATCGCCCCCTTGAGCCAATGAGGAAGTTGTCATCACCCCCCTCCCCCAACATAACCTCTCAATTACAACATGGGAAATAATTCTTCAATTTATGCAAACACTTCTTTTGTTTTCTTTAAAATTGTTCATCAGGACATATTGATGCAAATAATTTATTTCCAGTCTTTTCCCCATATCTCCCATATTCTGGCTAATGGCGCGCCACTGTATGGTAGAGGCTGCTGCGTAACACGCATGAAGATAAATAATGCATATTTACATATGTACTGAGTTCTGTACTGAAGCTAGCTGGAGGAACATTTGAAAACATAATTCAATCCACTAATAGCAAGCGACCTGATGTTTTTATTTGACAGATATACAGCCATTCTCTGTACAAAAAAGTCTCAAAAGTGTCCCCAAAACTTCTTGCTTCATCGCCCCCATATCGCCCCCTTTTTTGTTCCTTCGCCCCCACGTCACTCCTTTTTGTTCCATCGCCCCCCTGAAAAATGAAATCGCCCCCTAGGGGGCAATATCACCCAGGTTAAGAACCACTGCTCTAAATTTTATAAGGTGCTTTTTTTTCCGGTTCAATTTGGCCAATCAAGTGCATTATTGAATACATTTGTTTTGGAGGTAAATGCCGTTTTAGCACATTTTTTTCCCTCACAGCCAAAGGTCCAGGAAGCATGGCAGTAACGCAAGGACATCATTAGAGGGACAGGACCAGAATAGCAATAGCATTTAAACTTATATACCGCTTCACAGTGCTTTACAGCCCTCTCTAAGCAGTTTACAGAATCAGCCTATGGCCCCCAGCAATCTGGGTCCTCATTTTACTGACCCAGGAAGGATGGAAGGCTGAGTCAACCTTGAGCTGGTCAAGATCGAACAGCTGGCAGTCGGCAGACTCAGCCTGCAATACTGCATTCTAACCACTGCAACACCACAGCTTTTGGTGCTGACGCAGAATACAGAATAACAGAATTGGAAGGGATCTTGGAGGTCTTCTAGTCCAATCCCCTGCTCAGGCATAAAACTCTGTAACATTTCAAACAAATGGCTGTCCAATCTCTTCTTAAAGTCCTCCAGGGATGGAGCATCCACAACTTCTGGAGGCAAGTCGTTCCACTGGTTAATTGTTCTCACTGTCAGGAAATTTCTCCTTAATTCTCTCCTTGATTAGTTTCCATCCGTTGCTTCTTGTTCTGCTTTCAAGTGCTTTGGAGAATAAGTTGAACCCCTCTTCTTTTTGGCAACCCCTGAGATATTGGAAGACTGCGATCCTGTCTCCCCTAGACCTTCTTTTCATTAAACTAGACCAATCCAGTTCCTGCAACAGTTCGTCGTATACTTTAGCTTCCAGACTCCTAATCTTTTTGCTCTTTTCTGCACTCTTCATAATCTCAGTATCTTCTTTCGTATCATGGTGATCAAAACTGGATGCAGTATTCCATATGTGGCCTTACCAAAGCCACATAAAGCACTTCACCAGAGTATTTAGACCTCTTGAAATAACTCACGCAAAGCAGGGAAAGTGGTGAACGAAGTAAGGTATCAGAAATTTAATGCATCCATCTTATGCCACAATTCTTTCGCTATCAACCTCCACACTTCAGCAGCAAGAACCTGGAGATCTTAGAGGCTGCTAAAAAAAACTGGAGGGGGAAGGGGAAGATGGGGGCTGTGATACACCCTCCAACTACAAAGAACATGAAGTGTACAGGAGTTAACTAACCCATGCCCAGGGTGAAAATCCCTACCTCCATGTAGCCATTAGCTGGGGGTTCGGGAGGCATGTCTCCAGAGGGCAAAGGAGAAGAGATTTCAGTTGCTCTCTTTAGGGCAGCCGCCTGCGTGGGAATTCGGTGTAGGTAGCCGTATCCAATGCCACATCCTAAGCTGCACAAGAAAGCAAAATGTTGTCAGAAGTAGGGTGCACAGTCTGGTTTTTAAAACATAACGGGGGAGCTGCAAACATTATTAAGAGAAACTCTGCTGCTGGCATCTTCAAATTTGTATTAGTTTATCAGACTATAAAATACAAAGGAAAATGAAAATAATGGGAAACTGGGGGGAGGGAAAAGGGAAAAAGTGTGGGGTAGAAGGGGGAAAAAAGAAAAGGCTTTTTAGCACAATGGAAAATAATATTACAGGCTCAACTTTTTACTTTTACGCAATAATAAGGTACAGATGGTCCTTGACTTACAACAGTTCATTTAGCGATCATTCAAAGTTACAACGGTGTGAAGAAGTGACCTGGGACCATTTTTCACACTGCAGCACCCCCATGGTCACGTGATCAAAATTCAGATGCTTGGCAATTGACTCACACTTATGACCATTGCAGACCCCCCTCCCTCCTTTGCGACCTTCTGGCAAGCCAAGTCAGTGGGGAAGCCCCATTCACATTAGTAGCTCAACAAATGCAAACGATTCAACTTAACAATTGTGGCAAGAAAAGTTGTAAAATGGGACAAACTCCAAACACTTAACCACAGAAATTTTGGGCTCAGTTGTGGACGTTACTCAAGGACTACCTGTCATTTCTACAACAGCAAAACCAAAATCAAAGTTTTATTTTTTTTCCCCTCAATCACGAGCACAAAATCCAGAAGCGGTTTTCAAATGAAAACAAAATTAGGCATGTTCTTTTCTTTGAATAAAGTAATCTCTACTTTTCCCCCTTGCGGTGGGAAATAATATACAGGAAAACTCATGCTGAGTCAACACAAAGCACTACTAAGGCTTTGCCATGCAGACTCTAGCTCAGTGGTTCTCGACCAGTGGGCTTGGACCCCATTTGGGGCCAAATGACCATTTCACGGGGGTCGCCAAACAACGCAGTCCGCCATTTTTTCCCCCTTTTCCTTTTATTCTATTGGCTTTTGAAAGCCAATAGAATAGACTCTCTTGAATAGAGTCTAATTCTATTGGCTTTCAAAAGCCAATAGGAATTGTCCAGGCTGTCTCTGCCCTGCTGAGCCCGCCAAAAGTCCCATTCTGCAAACGGTGCTGCACCAGTTGAGTAGTCCTCGACTTACGACCGGTTGGGGATCGCGGCATTAAAAAGGTTGAGAACCACTGGTATAGGGTCTCCTGCTTGAGCAGGGGGTGGATTAGAAGACCTCCAAGGTCCCTTCCAACACTGTTATTCTCTTATATCTGCTCAGGTAGCTACAAATCTCTACTTTCAAAAGGTTGAGAACCACTGCTCTAGCTGAAAGGAAAAAAGCTAAAGCCTTTCCTCAACCAAAATTTGCAGGAAGAAAAAGGAGGGGGGAACTGAAGAACTGCCCCCCTCTCAACCATAACAACCTTACCCAAATTGGAGAACCCCATTTCTGAAGGGACTGGGGTGGGGTGGACAGAGCAGCCCCCTCAAGAGACTGCAGTGACATTTCTATCTTCCAATATCCATCTGTTGAGCAGCTATTTTTCTTAGTCGTATATACATCTTCGTGCCTCTATACAGCTCTGTATCGCTAAAATCAGTCAGTGTGAATTACTTACAGGTAGTCCTCAGCATACGACTGTAATAAAGCCTGTCCACCACAGTCATAATATATTGAAACGGTTATGAAATGAGCAGTTGTTAAGTGAACGCAGCAGTCCTCATACTAATGCCACAGTTGTTAAAATGAATGGCATGGTCGTTAAGCCACTGTTTCCTCTGGCGCAATTTTGCTGAAAACTCAGAACTAACTTCCAGTTTTCAGCAAAACTGTCACGGGACTGCAGAACGCTGCAAACAGGCATAAATGACTGGTTAGAACAATGATGGCGAACCTTTTAGAGACCGAGTGTCCAAACTGCAACCCAAAACCCACTTATGCATCATCGGGTGCCGGGTGGGTGTGGCACATTGATGGGTGTGGCACATTGGGTGGGTGTGGCCAGTTGGGTGGGCGTGGCCAGTTGGGTGGGCATGGTTGCGGTGGTAACGGCAGACGGTGGGACTAAAAAGTTCAATCAATCAATTCCAACTTTGCAAGATTTTTTTTGCCCGCAGGAAGTTGAAATTGACTGATTGAACCTATTTTTTTTTTTTTTTGCAAACACTGGCGGAGGCCAAAAGCGAAAAGGTTTTATAAAACCCAGCTGAAGGCCTAGACTGGGGCGACGGCATGCGTGCCTACATAGAGGGCTCTGAGTGCCATAGGTTCGCCATCACTGGGTTAGACGTTAAGGACTATTTGCATTACCTGATTCTCGCATGTTATATTTCTACGTAAAAAAAAAAGTGATTTTCTAATAGGCCATAAAGAAACCACTACCAGCAGGAGATAAAGATTCTGTCTATGCGTGGCATATCTATTAAAGCAGGGGTCTTCAAACTTGGCCCTTTTATGACTTGTGGACTTCAATTCCCAGAATCCCTCAGCCAGGCAATTCTGGGAGTTGAAGTCCACAAGTCATAAAAGGGCCAAGTTTGAAGACCCCTGTATTAAACTATTGTGGTGATGTCAAGAAAGGAAAAGTGAAATGGAAGAGTATTGGGGTGGTTTTTCTGTGTACTTAAAATAGACTGTAAGGGAAAACTTTATTGTGTACTTAAAACAGACTGTAAGGGAAAACTCTCAACACAAAACTCTCATTCCACGCCAAAGCAAACTTCATGGATTATTCCCCAAATGCATCATGACCTCATAGTCACGTGATCAAAATTCGGACGCTTCTCAACTGACACACCTATTTATGACAGTTGCAGTGTCCCAGGGTCACGTGATCCCCTTTTGCGACCTTCAAACAGGCAGATTCACTTCACAGCTGGGTTGCTAACTTAACAACTGCAGTGATCCACTGAACAAGAGTTGTGGCAAGAAAGATCGTAAAACAGAGCACCACTCACTTAACTGCCTAGGTTAGCAACAGAAATCTGGGCTCAACTGTGGTTGTAAGTCGAGGATTACCTGTACCAAGGTATCATTGGACCCAGGATGCTTTAAGATCCAGTATGCACTAGGATAGGGCTTTTCAACCTTGTCATCCATTGTACCACTTTTAGGATATGGCAACATCCAGTCGCCTAGCAAGGTGTCAAAAACTTGATGACCAAAAAAAAAAAAAAAAAAAAAAGGAAAAAAGTGATGAAGTACAGGTAGTCCTTGACATACAACAATTCATTTAGTGACTGTTCGAAATTACAATGGCACTGAAAAAAGTGCCCCCCAAGACATAGCCGAGCAAGACACCTGCCTGCCCACCCGGTTTTCATTGTTGTGAGCATTTCTGTCAAGGATTGGCAGTGGGGGTGGGGTGGGGGAGTGTTTTGTTTTTAATTCCCCCTGTCTGCTGGGTGGTTGCAGCAGGTTTTGGTCACTTCACATGACCCTGGGACACTGTGGCCATCATAAATATGAATCAGTTGCCAAGCATCTGAATCTAAATTACAAGACCCTGGAGAGGCTGCAACATTCCAGCTGATCAGCACTTCTTCTGGGCTCAGCAGAAGTGCCAGGATCAGTGCTGCTTTCCAGCTGATTGGTGCTTCTTCAGGGCTCAGCAAAAGCACCCGGATCAGCGCCAAGCTACAGCTGGAGCCTGGTGCTGATCCCGGCGCTTCCACTGAGCCCTGACAGCCCCAAAGAAGCGCTGATTCTGGTGCTTCTGCTGAGCCCCAACAGCCCTGCGGCTCCAACCATCTCTCGCTCAGGCTTGTGCGGTGGTGCCACCGGTTCAACTTATTCCCCTCCCCTGCTATCACTTTTCTAGGATGGTTGTGTACCACCTGCCAGGTGCCCATGTACCACAGGTGGTACCCGTACCACTGGTTGAAAAGCGCTGCACTAGGAGGCCAGGCGTCAGCCTGGTCTTGCCTACCTCTCATTCTCACATCTCTCGGTTTCTAAAGCCATACCTTCCTTCTCCACCCCAGGCTCCGTTGGGGGTTACAAAAACCTCTCGGCAGGAATCCATTTCTGTGTTATAGACCACCAGCTTCAGAGGCTTTCCCTCATGAGAATCGATCAGGGAGAAGAAATCTTCAGACTGAACAAAGGAGAGATCCATCATTCACTCTGCAGCAAACTGCCACCCTTTCCCTTTTTTACCACCACCAGCCACTCAGTTCCTAGAATAAAGGGTTAGGGGAGAGAATTTGCAGCCTGTTCTTTGGAACAGGCAGACCCTAAGCCTTGAGGATAGATAAATTGGTTTTCCAGCACAATGAAGGAACTAGTCACGATCTTTGGGGTCCCTCTCAATTCCATATCTTAAAAAGATTAAATCGTGGCAACAACTGGACCAAAGTTTATTAAAACTGAGGTGTTTCATTACTCAGTCAAAATGAGAATCTGGATAGACAAGAGTCAGAGAGTCGGTGGAAAGAACCAACTTTGACATACAGACTGCAGGGGGTTTCTCCCTAAAATGAAAAGCAACATGTAAATCAGGGGTTCTCAATGTTGACAACTTTAAGACTTGTGGACTTCAATTCCCAGAATTCCTCAGCCAGCTTTGCTGGCTGAGGAATTCTGGGAGTTGAAGTCCACAAGTCTTAAAGTTGCCAACGTTGAGAACCCCTGATGTAAATGAAGGTTCAATTATCCTTAAGAGTATTTTAACACCCTGGTGGTGCAGTGGTTAGACGCCAGTATAGTAGGCTACTTTTGCCGACTGCCAGCTATCTGCAGTTTGGCAATTCGATCCTGACCAGCTCAAGGTTGACTCAGCCTTCCATCCTTCTAAGGTCAGTAAAATGAGGAGCCAGATTTTTTTTGGGGGGGGGGGGCATATGCTGACTGTTAAACACTTAGAGAGGGCTGTAAAGCAGTGTGAAGCGGTACGTAAGTCTAAGGGCTCTCGCTTTTGCTAAAAGATTACTTTTATTTAAAGCATCTTAAAAGATTACTTTTAATCATGGCAACTGGACCAAATTTATTAAAAATGTTTCAAAGTTACTTGGACCAGTAACAAAACATCTCAGTTTTAATAAACTCTGGTCCAGTTGCCATGATTTAACCTTTTAAGATACTTTTGGCCTGGATGGTTGAATCTTTGTTAGCATGCTTCAATTCCATGATTTTAGGATGCACTCATCCATCCTTAGAAAATGCTCCAAAATACAGCAAAACACCATAATGCAACATTCTTCAGCCTTGCAACTTTAAGATGTCTGGATTTCTGGGCTTCAATTCCCAGAATTTCCCAGCTAGCGTACTGGCTGGTGACTTCTGGGAATTGAAGTCCACCTATTGTGGCTAGGAGATGCTAGGGGTGGAAGTCCACTCATCGAGGCTGAAGAATTCTGGGAGTTGAAGTCCAGACATCTTAAAACAATATAAGAGGATATATATAGCTCAGGGTTGAACCGTAGAGTCCTTGGTGATCTCTGAGCTTGGCTGCTTTCTTGGAGACAGTTCATTACCCAAGTAGGTAACTTCAGATGTTACTTGAGAACCAAGGACTCCGTACTCTTAAGGCAGCCAAGTTTGAGAAACGTTGCCATAAGGGGAGAGAATTTCTTTTTTAGTTTTTAGCCTTCGTGAGTTGTGGACATGGAGCAGAGACATCCACAGGGGGTGGAGAGGGAAGGGGAAGGATAAGGGAGGCAAACAACAAGAGCATCATTACATCTTAAATTCTGTCCCTCCTGTACATCCATCGCAGTATCACATGCATGTGGAGGTTACATCATGATGGGACAGTCCTGTTTCCCTGACTTTGCTAAACAATTTTTTAAAACTTTTTCAGGTCAGAGATTTAGTTTAAAAAAAAATAAATCCCAGGAGCCCTGATCAAGAGGCAAAGTTCTAACAACAGAAAACTAGTTGCATTCAAGTCAAAAATCCCCCCCCCCAATCAATCAGAATAGAGCTGGAAGGGATCATGGAGGTCTTCTAGTCTAACCCCCTGCTCAAGCAGGAGACCCTATATAATTGGAGAGAAGTGGCTTTCCAGTTCTTCTTAAAAACGTCCAGTGAAAAACTTCTTGGTCTCAAGTTCACAGGGACCCTTAAAAAGGTCTGTGAACCACAGTTTGACAAAGGCCTAGCCTAAAGTATTAGGGCCGTAAGACCTTTTGCCTGGGAAAGCAAAAAGCAAAAAGAAAAAAAAAGCAGGAAAAGGAGGTATCCAATCTTAAGACTTGGGGACTTCAATTCCCAGAATTCCTCAGCCAGCCATGCTGGCTGAGGAATTCTGGGAGTTGAAATCCACAAGTTTTAAAGTTGCCAAATTTGGACATCCTTAGTTTAAATGCAAAGAGAAGCCTGAAAATGCAGTCCTCCATGCAATGCTCTCTCTTCCCCACGTTTTGGCTAGTTTTGCTTTCTGCATGAAGCTTTCTCAAGCTCTTGGCAGTAAAGGGAGGGACGCTGAAACCAAAGGGGTTTTATGCGCAGCAATGCTCCCATAGTAAGAAATCAAGCATCAGAGAAGAAAAGGTAAAAAGGAAGCAAGTGCAGAACAATCAAAGCCTAAGAACTATTCACAGCCATCAGCACCAAAGACCAATCTCTCCTGACTTCACTTGGGGGGTCAGTTACAACTCATCTGAATCTTTTACCTCGTGGAGTATCTGATCCGATCCGATTATGTAGTCAGAATGGGGCTTCAGGCCAGCTAATGCTGCTGGAGAAGCTGGCTCCACATCCTAGACAAGAGAGAAAGACCATGGTTATGGCTAGGGCCCATATTCAACAAAGCCAGTGGGGAAAGCATTTTAAGTCAGTGCTTGGTAAACCTTTTTGAGGGAGGGGGGGGATCTTGACTCCTGGCAACTACCTGCGCAAGTCCCAGCAGTTTTCTTGGCAAGGTTTTCTAAGTGGTTTCCTATGGTCTTCTTAGGATTAAGAGGGAGGAACTGGCCCAAGGCCACAAAGCTGACCACATCTAAGGTAGGATGAGAATTCACCATGTCCCAGTTTCTAATCTGATTTTATTTATGTATACCCCACCCTTATTATTTCTGTAAGTAATTCAAGGTAGCCAACATACATAATGCTCCTTCCTCCATCTATTTTCCTCAAAACCATGTGAATTGGGGTAAGATGAGTGACTGGCCCAAGGTCACTCAGTTAGCTTTCTTTCTTTTTTTTAATTGAAAATTTTTATTTTTTCCATTTAAACATTATAAAAAATACAATACAATTTTAAAATAAGATAAATTCATAACCATTGGTGCGACCCACCCATTCCCCCCAGGCTGCGTCCACCCTTTCTTAAAACATTCCCTACTTCCGCTCCTCTTTCTCTCCTCCCCTCCTACTCTTTTCCCCTCCCCCTCTCCTCTCAATACCCTACTTCCTCTCTACACCTTCTCTCCTCTCATCCCTATCAAAACCATGAACGCAGCATAAGGGGAGTGCCCGGGCCACACTCCTATAAACAACCATTATCTATACTACACTTACCCCCCCCTTACCCTCCCTCCCACCCCCAACCCCCCTCCCTTCACTTCCCAGAGCAGAATACAGGGTTACTAATAACAAAATTTATAATAATAAAAAAGAAAAGAAAAAAAAGGAAAAAAGAAAAGAAAAAAGAAAATATCATAATTAACCTTTAACTCCATAACCTATAAGACAATTCTCTATAATATTTGTTATAATATTCATTCATAAAATAAATGAAACTTTTTAATTCCATACTTTTTCTGGATATAATCTATCCATCTTCTCCATACAATGATATATCTTTCTTGTGTATGATCCTTTAAATAAGCAGAAATTTTTGCCATTTCTGCAAAACTAGATACTTTAAATATCCATTCTTCTAAAGTAGGCAAAGAATCTTTCTTCCAGTATAAACCTACTAATAACCTTGCTGCAGTTACTAAATTCAACATCAAGATAGTTTCTTTTTCATTTAAATCAGTGGTTCTCAACCTGTGGGTCGGGACCCCATTTGGGGTCGAACGACCATTTCACGGGGATCGCCAAACCACGCTGTCCGCCATTTTTTTCCCTTTTCCCTAGCTGTCCTACTCCCTCTTATTGGTGGCCACACCCACTTGGGGGTCACCACAACATGGGGAACTGTATTATGGGTCACGGCATTAGAAAGGCTAAGAACCACTGATTTAAATCAACGAAAATACCCAGTAAAAATAGTTGAGGAGTAAACTTTACTCAGCTAGCTTTCATGGCTAAGGAAAGATGAAAAATGTCTGTCTGCCAAATGTCTATAGAGATTGTCAGTCTTCCAGGTCATGGTTGTTCCAAAGATGATTTTCCATCTACTTACGTCATAACTCAGGAGATTTCCTTGGAACACTTGGACGTAGTAGTTAAGTCATTGGGCTATAAACGGGCAGACAGTGACCCAAAGATGCTTTTTCAGGAGGCAACTGGACTTTCTTGTTTTTCTTTGAAGACGTTTCGCTTCTCACCCAAGCTTCTTCAGCTCTGACTGAATGGTGCCTGAAGGATTTATACTCCTTGCAGACAGCTGGCCATTTGCATTCTTTCAGAGAGTCATTGAGGCCACTTGGAAGTTTGTCTGTGTCCTCAGGGTCACCCGAGTGGTGCAAATGGCTGTGGAGCCTTCTTGGAACTTTCTAAGTCAGTGTTTTTCAACCTTGACAATTTTAAGGCATGTGGACTTCAACTCCCAGAATTGCTGGCTGTGGAATTCTGGGAGTTGAAGTCCACATGCCTTAAAATTGTCAAGGTTGAGAAACACTGTTCTAAGTCCTTCCATCCTCCACCATCCAGTCAGAGCTGAAGAAGCTTCTTGGATGAGAAGTGAAACATCTTTAAAGAAAAACAAGAAAGTCCAGTTGCTTCCTGAAAAGGTATGTTTGGGTCACTGTCTGCCCGTTTATAGCCCAATGACTTAACCAGTACGCCCAAGTGTTCCAAGGAAATCTTATGAGTTATGACGTAAGTAGATGGATCTATGTTTTAAAAAAACACTTGTTCCTCATTTTGAATACTGTAGAATGAAAAAGTTCCCTGTGTTTCTATTTTTTTCATTGAAAAAGTTCCACTCTGTGTTAAAGATGTGAATTCTAATTAAAATGACTGCATTTTGTAATATACAACAGATTTTTTTTTCTCCTGCAAACTGATTTTTCTAATGCAGATTTATACATGGAAATAATTGCAAGAATTGCTGCAGAATTTTTTTTTAAAAAAAACCTTATTAAATTTCTAATTCTATCCAAGATAGAGATGGCAGAACTGAGAGCACAAAAGGGTAGGATATGTGCTTTGGCCAAGCATTGGTGCTCCACCTAAACAAAATATCTTCTACTACAGAGGCCCCCAACCTTTTGAGCACCAGGGACCGATTCTGTGGAGAAAGATTTTTCCGTGGACTGGAAAGGGCATGGTTTCGTGTGCTGCCTGCATCCCACGGGTGGAGCTTTCCTTGTTTGCGCGGCCTGGTTGCTGGCATGCCATGGTGCTGGTCCACGGGCCGGGGGATGGGGACCCCTATTCTAATACACTGAATTTGCAAAGCAAGCAAATTAGTGTGCAAAGTGTTCCTAAAAAGGCAGAGGTTTGAAAACTAAATCAAAAGAGCAAAGGAAACAAAAGGAGGGGCACAGGAGAAAGAAAAAAAATCGAAAATAATATTTCTAAGGTAGTCTTCAACTTATGACCGCAATGGGGGTTCAGAATTTGTTGCTAAGAGATGCGGTTGAATCACATCTATTTTTCCAACCTTTCTTACCATGGGCATTAAGTGAATCTAACTTCCCCCCACTGCCTTCACGTGTTGGAACCCCCCCCCCCCCGGCAAGTTTGCAAATAGAGATTAGGTGACTCTGGAACGCTGCAATTGTGGTGAATCAATGCTAGTTGCCAAGTACCTGAATGTTGATCATGCATGCGAATGTGAGAAGGGTGCAAGGTCACATGAGAACTAGTCATAAGTCACTTTTTTCAGCACTACCTTCAAACGGTTATTAAAAGGAGCGGGTCATAAGTCAAGGACTACCTGTAAACATCTAAATAAAGTTGTCTCTGGGTTAAGCTTGATTCATCATTAACTCCACAGAAAGTCCCCTGGGAGGAATACAGTGGTTTTCCTTCTTGTCCAGCTTAAACCACTGATTTTCTGCACTGACCTTGCTTAGCATTCCAGATCAGCCAAGGGCAACTTGTTTCTAGGAATTCTGGGAGCTGAAGTCCACACAGCTTAGCGAGTGAGGTTGGACAACACTGATCCGGAAGTTGCAGTTGATACAAAATGCAGCATGGTGGGTAGCTGTGCTCCTTTATACCTGTGCCCTGTGAACTGCACTAGTTGCCATATCCTTTCTGGGTTCCATTCAAAATGATGGTAGCTGCCTGTAAGTGGCTCTCCACGGCACAGGGACAGGTTATTTGCAAGATCACCTCTCCCCAGTTACATCTACCTGTCCCCTCAGATCTGGCACTAGAGGCATGCTACAGACCCCACTCATTAAAGGACCCACCGAGAGAACCTTCTGGAACCTCGTCTCCCACCCCACCCCACCCCAGATATTAGCCCCAACCCCGTTGACCTTTGGGCAGCCTTGAAGAGATGGCTAAGTCACCGGGCATGGGAGTCTGAGTGGCTGATGAAACCTCTGACTTTTGTTTTGATTTATTATCATATTCACTATCAGTTGTCTCTTTCGTATCTGTATTCTTTAGCTGACTTTCTTCCCATTGTAGTTAGCTGCCCAGAGTCACTGATAAGTTAAATAAGTGGTTAAATAAACTGGTTTCATAGGAACTTAAGAAGCCCTCCTAACCTATCTCAATCAGGTGCACCTGTTGAAGGACTGCCTCTCCTTGGTCCTTCAAAGTGGGAAGGCCGGAGAGATTATGGGTCCCACCTAGATAACTGATGGGACATAGAAGTGGGGACTTCTCTGTAGTGGCTCCCTCCCTTTGGAACATCATTCCCCAAGTAATAAGGTTGGCCTAATCCTTGTTATTTTTTTGCAAGGCCCCAAAGATAGGTTCTCTCAGCGGGTCTGAGGAGCTCAAGATTATTTTGGAGCTGATCAAGTGGCTTGTATGATTGTGTTTGTCGCTGCCAAAGGCCACAGGGATTTCTGGAATTGTCACATCGTTGATGTTTAAGGCTGTACACCACCCAGAGTCACTGTGAGTGGGGCAGCCATATAAGTCTGTCTGTCTGTGTATGGCCGCCCACTATTCTCAGTGGGCAGCTAACAAATAAAAAAACTCAATATAAAAAGAATAAAAACAATACCTCCCCCCCCCCATTCCATGGCGACAACAAGCAATCAAACCAGCCACTTGATGAGCTCTATCCCACTCTGGGTTCCCCAAGCTTGTTGGCAAAGACCACGTCTTCAGGACCTTGCAAAAGAGTGTTAAAACGGGATCCAGTCTAAACTCTGAGGGGAGCCACCATGGAGAAGGCCCTTCTTCTGGGTCCTGAAACATTCCCTGCATCCCACTCTGGTGGGTCAGGCAGATGTAACCGGAAAGAGATGGTCCTTCGGATAACCTGCAAATAAACATGTATAGATAAGCTATTCTCTTCTTGCAGCAGTGCTTCTTAGCAACTAAAATCTGATAACCCGGCTGCAATTCGAGATAACAACCAATCAGGACTAGCAGTCACAGAAAGCCCAATGTAACCTCCCTTTTCCTGCTTACCAGCACATGCCAGACATGTTCATTGGCACCTTGGAAACTGCAGAATCGCACACTGGCCCCTAGCAGTCCCTGCCCTCCCCACATATTGCTGGGGATGACCTCCACTTCCCGTACTTTCATCGTTTTTATGTTGAAGACTTCCAGTTTCACAGCTTTCTCAACGTTGGCTTTTAGTAGATCTTTCAGGGTGTCGCCTTCTTTATTCTACATGCAGGGAGGGAGGAAAAAATGAAGATTTTTTATCTGGACATGGTAACAAACACATAAGAAAGAAAATAGCTTAGAAGCATCTGGCCAGGAAACAAAATATTTCTTTCTTTCTTTCTTTTTTTCTTTCTTTCTTTTTCTTTCTTTCTTTCTTTCTTTCTTTCTTTCTTTCTTTCTTTCTTTCTTTCTTTCTTTCTTTCTTTTTTTCTTTCCTTCCTTCCTTCCTTCCTTCCTTCCTTCCTTCCTTCCTTCCTTCTCTCTCTCTCTCATTCATTCATTCATTCATTCATTCATTTAAATGGCCAGCCACCCTTCCAGCTCAGTTCTTTCCAAATCTGGAAAGAAATTTAAACTTTAATTTTACAGTTATTGATGGAAAGTAAGTCCCAGTCAACCAACTTTCAGATAAATACAGACTTATCACACATTCAGTGACTATTCAAAGTTAAAGTGCCGCTGAAAAAAATGACATGATTGTTTTTCACATTAACAACCATTACAGCATCCCCGTGGTCATGTGATCAAAATTCAGACACTTGGCAACTGGTATATATTTACAACACTTGCACTATCGTGAGGTCATGTGATCTCCATAGGTAACCTTTCCAGCTGGCTTCTGACAAGCAAAGTCAATGGGGAAAATCAGATTTGCCTAGTGACTGCATGGCATCTGCTTAACAATTATAGGGATTTCCTTAACAACGGTGACAAAAAGATAATTAAATTGGTCACAACTCGCTTAACAACTGTCTTGCTTCAGAGGCTTGGCAACTGGTTCATACTTATGACCGTGGCTGTGTCCCAAAGTCACGTGACCCCCCCCTTTTGCAATCTCCTGATGAGCAAAGTCAAGGGGGAAGCCAGATTCACTTAATAACCCTGTTGCTAACTTAACATCTAGTGATTCATTTAACAACTGTGGCGAGAAAGGTCGTAAAGTGGGAAAAAACTCACTTAACAAATATCTCACTTGATAGAAATTTGGGGCCCAATTATTATGGTAAGTTGAGGACTCGCTGTCCTCAGATGCCATGTTGGCTAAATGAAACACCAGCTTGCAGCGTTATCAGCTAGCCTTCTTTCTCATTTCTGCATGCCTTTGTCAACCAGCTTTTAATGTGTTAATTATTAACAGAGTCGCGGCTGGTCAAATATTGAGAGCTGGTTTGGTGACTCAGCATTAAGTCAACACCCTACCTTCCCTCCAAAGCTGTGCCAAAACGGGCGTCTTGATGGTACCGAACGAGTTTGACGCTCAAAAACTCAAGACGCTTCGAGCGAAGGTGCCAAGACAATGCAGGACAGCTTCTACCCACCGTTTGGCATTTCACAAGCACTCCTCAACTTACAACTTAACACTCATTTAGTGACCGTTCAAAGTTACAACAGCACTGAAAAAAAGTGACATGACCAGTTTTCACACTTACTTCAGTGGTCATACCTTGGTTGTTTGGCAACAGGCATGCGTTTGTGATGGTTGCGATGCCCTGGGAATGCCATTTGCAACCTTCCTAGGGAGCTTCTGACAAGCAAAGCCCATGAGAATATCCAGATTTGCTTAACGATCATGTAACTCATTTAGCAACTGTTGTGACAGCTTAACAACTAAAGTTTATAAAGTGACTCGTTTAACAGCTGCCTTGCTTAGCAATGGAAATTTTGGGCTCGACTGTGGTCATATATTGAGGACTAGCTGTATTGGAAACTGCTAAAACTAGAGCTCTCCCAAAGAGCCCTTGAAGAGTGTCTGTTACCACTTTTAGTAATAGTAATAATAAATTTATTATTGAGTTTGATTTAAAATTGTTTTTATTGGAAGCATTGTTTGGGGGTTAATCCTGGAAGTATTAATTTCCATGGTGTATTTTTTAACTCTCTAAGCCAGCGAGAGTGGGTGAGAGAGAAAACCAGTAAATAAAATTAATGAAACATGTAAAGAAAAGTTACATTAATGATGGGAAAATTTCAGTTCAGCTTCTAGCCCAGAGCTATTTCTCATGCAACGATTAAGTCTTCAGAGACAAGTAGCCACAAAAACTGGGTTTTGCTTTCCAGGAATATATTTTAAAGAGAAAAAAAAAAAGCTCTCACCCAATTAGATTGGATTTCAATTCCCATCACAGGTAGCTCTCAACTTACGACCACAACGGAGCCAAAAATTTCTAGGGATAAGTGACTGCAGTTGTTATGTTAGTCACACATTTGTTAAGTGAATCCAGCTTCCCTATTGTCAGAAGATCACAAAAGGTGATCACATGACTCTGTGACAGTCATAAATAGTTGCCAAGCATCTGAATTTTGACCATGGGGATACTGCAACGATTGTAAGTGTGAAAAATGATCAAAAGTCACTTTTTTTCAGTGCCATTGTAACTTTGAACAGTTACTAAATGAACTGTTTTAAGTTGAGGACTACCTGTATCTGCCACGAAGACAAGCACTGCATTGCCCGCATCAAATCCTAGCGCCTTCATGGGGAAGGGACCAAAAAGCTGCAAGTCCAGTTTTTGCTTTCACAAGTTGCATCTCATGGCATGAATACTTTTTGGGCTCAAAGTCACCAACAGGGAGGAAGAATCAATGAATTCAGACCTTATTAAAACCTATGGTTGCATATAAAGCAACTTCTGCACACAATTTCCTAGCAGGTCAGTCCAGAAGCAGTAGTCCAGGTCATCATCTCCAGTACTAGAAATCTGATCTAAGGAGGGAACGCGTTTGATAGATCATTCTTCATGTCGCATCCTGAAGCAGGGATGGGGAACTATGGCCCTTTTATGACTTGTGGCTCAGGAATTCTGGGAATTGAAGTCCATAAAGAGGCCATAGTTCCCCACCTCTGCCCTGCTAAATTCCTGAGATGCAATTGAATTGATGATAGAGAGTAAGGGGCAGACTGCACCTACCAAGGCTGCAATTTGGTCCAAGGACCTACTTTACAATATTTATATATCCTTTCATTCCATATCTGATTTACTATTTGCATTCATGGTGCGCTTTACACAACCATACATCAATATGGTTAGAATAGAGTAACAGAATAACAGAATTAGAAGGGACCTTGGAGGTCGTCTAGTCCAACCCTGATTAGGCAGGAAACCCTATACCATTTCAGATAAATGGCTGTCAAATCTTCTTAAAAATTTCCAGTGTTGGACAACCCACAACTTCTGAGCAAGCTGTTATATTGATTAATTGGTCTAACGGTCAGGAAATTTCTCTTTAGTTCTAGGTTGCTTCTCTCCTTGCTTAGATACCACCCATTGCTTCTTGTCCTGCCTTCAGGTGCTTTGGAAAATAGCTTGATTCCCTCTTCTTTGTGGCAGCCCCTGAGATATTGGAACACTGCTATCATGTCCCCCTTGTCCTTCTCTTCATTAAACCAGACGTATCCAATTCCAGAAACTGTTCCTCATATGTTTTAGCCTCCAGTCCCCTAATCATCTTTGTTGCTCTTCTCTGTACTCTTTCTAGAGTCTCAACATCTTTTTTACATCGTGGTGATCAAAACTGGATGCAGTATTCCAAGTGTGGCCTTACCAAGGCATTGTAAAGTGGTATTAATACTCCCCGTGATTTTGATTCTATTTCTCTGTTAATGCAGCCTAGCACTGTGTTGGCTTTTTTGGCAGCTGCAGCACACTGCTGGCTCATATTTAGGTGATTGTCCATTAGGACTCTGAGATCCCTCTCACAGTTACTGCTATTAAGCAAGGTAGCACCTATCCTATACCTGTGCATTTGGTTCTTCTTGCCTAAATGTAGAATCTTACTTTTTTCATACTTCCTGCTTCCTACAGTAACTATATATGGTGATTCTAACTCATTTACTTCTTATTTACTGGATTCTCTACTAAAATTTCCCAGCACATAGCGAAGTTCTGCTTGATTGCAAATATTATCAGAAAATTCCCAAGTGTGATTGTTAAGGCGATTAAGGGTACTGAACTGATCTATCATCTTTACATGTAATCCTCAACTTACGACCATAGTTGAGCCCCTGATTTCTCTTGCTAAACAAGGCAGCTGTTAAGTCACCTTTGCCCCATTTTACGATCTTTATTGCCACAGTTAAGCAAATCACCGTGGTTATTAAGTGAATCACGTAGTCGTTAGGCAAATCCAACCTCCCCCATTGACTTTACCTGTCAGAAGCTGGCTGGGAAGGTTACAAATTATGATCACATGATCCCACAACACTGCAACAGTCATAAATATGAGACAGTTGCCAAATACCCAAATTTTGATCATGTGACTGTGGGAATGCACAATGCTCGTAAGTGTGAAAAATGGTCATGGTCAGAATATTATTAATAATTTTTCTCTGTAATCTTCTTTTTGTGCAGTTTTTTTGATCTCTGTCCATAAACTGTTAACATTGAAAGAATCTCACACATGTAATCCAAAGACGCAGAGAAGGTTTGTTAAAGAACTCTATTTATTAAGAGATTTAACAGGCAGAAGCCCAGCAGCACAGGGGTCTCCAACCTTGCCAACTTTAAGACTTGTGGACTTCAACTCCCAGAATTCCCCAGCCAGCTTTGCTGGCTGGGGAATTCTGGGAGTTGAAGTCCACAAGTCTTAAAGTTGGCAAGATTGAAGACCCCTGCAACAGCAGACATTCTCTGGGAGTGAAAGTTGACCAAAGCAATTTATAATTTCAAAACTAAAGTCAGTTGAACTATCAATAGATATTTGCAAGAACGCTGATGCAGCTGGGGGCTCGCATGCACGCGCAAGGAGAGAGGGAGAGAGAGAAAGAGAGAAAACAGTGGCTTCTCTTAGCTATTTACCAGTCTCGTGTGTCCTATGGTAAGTATGAAATCAAAGAACGGCTCCAATCCAGCCTGCTGAGCAGGGGAATTTTCCTGAATCTGCAAAAATGGCAAAGGTGACAACATATATACATATTGCATAAAAATGAACATCAGCATAAGAATGTATATCCTAAAGAAAGTTGGATGCTTAATGCGAAATGTATCTGAAATAAACATGTATATAGATTAACCATAAAAATCTGTTATTAATAACTGAAAGGATTTCTTATAATCTGGAGCCCCAAGACTAAAGCTGCCGAACCCAGCAATTTAGAGAGGAGCCGTAGGTGGCACAGTGGTTAGAATGCAGTATTGCAGGCTAACTCACTGCTCACTGCCAGGAGTTCGATTCTGGCAGGTTCAAAGTTGATTCAGCCTTCCATCCTTCCAAGGTTGGTAAAATATGGAACAGATTGTTGGGGCAATATGCTGACTATGTAAATCACTTAGAGAGGGCTGTAAAGCACTGTGAAGTAGTATATATATATCTATATACTAGTGCTAGTGCTATTTCCTTGACCCAGAGGCACGATCCAAGGCAATTAAAAAGGAGGCAAGACCAGGCATTGAATTAAGATTAAATTTTGAGATTTTAATTTTTTTTGCAAGAAGGATCTCCATTAAACATTCTCCACAGAACGTCTTGCACTTAGAAATACAGCTTAGTCTCACATATGTTCAGAGAATGTATTTCTGAATGTTTCCTTTAAGTCAAGCTTTATTCTTGATGTCTCTGTGTGTACAACGAGCCAAGGTTTTGACTTGGCTTTCTTTCAAGAAGCTTAACTTCTCAACCTGAAAGCCACCAAATAAGTGCAACAACCCTCTCCCCCCCACCAAAAAAAAAAACAAGTTAAACATCTCATACCAAGACCTCGCCCAATACCCTTCCTTTAAAAAAAAAAAGAATAAACTACATCTGCAGTCATGACTCATAACTTCTGCACACAATATTAAAAAGGCACAGCACTGATCTTTCAAAGACAAGCTTAATCATTCTGACCCACCCAATCTACAGGATTCCAATCATCCCCAATCTGGCTATTAGGATAGAGGTTGCAGAATGAGAAATATATTCTGAGATACATTAGGTGCATCAAGGAGACAGTACCCATATACCATTACTCCAAACATCCATCAAGAATGGATATTTACCCTAAATATCCATGCCTAAAGATATTTTACCCATATACAGTAATTATTGCTATTATCCTTGTCATTTTCTCATCTTTCTTACTTCTCATCTTAACTACTACGTTCTCCTATTGGTATGTTTGCATATTATGATTTATGACTATAGGATTCAGGATCTATGATTTATCACTTCATTGTTTGTATGTACACTGAGAGTTTATGCACTGGAGACAAATTCTATTCTATTTGATTTTACTTTTATTCCACCTTTATAAGTAGCTCAAGATGACAAATATATATAATACTCCTTCTTCCTCTTTTCCCCTCAGCAAGCCCCCTGAGAGAGAGGGACTGGCCCAAAGTCACTCAGCTGCTTTCTGGGATTATAACTCTTGTCTCCCGATTTCTTGGTCAACACCTTAACCACTACACTAAACTGGATATGATGTGATCCTTCCAAGGTATTAACAGGTATAGTCACATTCTATTTTCACCAATACAAAATTCATCCTTCAAGCTGGGATGACCCTTCTAACAAAAATAGTGGCCATAACAAAAAAAAATGATCAAATTCTACACACAGAAGATAAACAGGCATATGGCAACAGCTGTTTTAGGGTTACAGAAGTTCTTTTTATGCAATTTTGGTGGGCTTTTTACTGCTATTGCCTTTTGCAAACTGCTTTAAGGTCAGCAAAAACAGGGAAAACTTCAACTATATTCTATAAATTGGTAATAATCCTCCCTACAAAGCAATGAATAGTTACTAATTGGAAGAGCAATAAATTGAGGTATCAGGTGACGGGTAAGGTTTTCTGTAGTTATGAACAAAGCTAACTGGGTCCTGATTAAGGCTTACAAAAAAAAAAACCCAGCAAGGGAACCCCAGACTAGGGGTCAGGCTGGGGAGTCAGGAGAATGCCCTGGATGAAGGCAATTCTCAAACTCTTCCATAGAGCTGTCAAGGAAATTATCCAAGTAGCCTTATGGAAAGCCATTCGGGGTTTTCTGATCTATTTCATTTCTCCAATGTACTTCCTGGATCACGTCTCTCAGGGGACTGGAAGCTCCCATTGAGGCTGTATGATGGCTGCTCTTCTGGACCCTTTTCAGGAGCAGAACAGGATGAAAATATTTGAAATAAGGGCATCAGCCAGCAGTTTACTCTAGACTCTAGTGGTTAAGTCACCAAGCTAGGAAGCAAGAGCCCCTGAGTTCAAGTCCTGCCTTAGCCATGAAAGCCACTTGGGCCAGTCACTCTCTCTCAGTCCAACTCACCTCACAGGGTGGCTGTTGTTGTTGTGGGGAAAGAAAGAGGAGAAAGTCTTGTTGGATATGAGTCATGTATGAAAATAATAAAAAGGATGGATATATATACATATACATATAATATACATACATATACACACACACACACTTATACATATACATATATATATACATATTATAAAACAAATAAAACAAATAAAAACATACATATATATACATACACACATTACACTCAGCGTCACAGGGGGCACTTCCCACGATCCCTTCCCAGCTGCTCAAGAGAGATTAGAATGTCCATCATCCCCATCCACTGGATCAGAACAATGGGTATTGGGGTCCATCATGTCTGGAGAGAAGCTTCAGGGGGCCATACCGACTGGACTAACGCCCGTCCTTCCCACCCACTGGCTGAGGATGATGGGCGCTGGAGTCCAGCTTCGATTTAGGGCCGTCTTCACCCTCTGCGGGTCCCTCCAGGGAGACGCTGCTTACCCCGTGCACATGATAACCCTCGGAGCCCCCGTCGGGAACTTCGGAGCTGGAACTCAGCCCCATGGCTGCCCGGAGAGACACCGACTCAGGCGCTGGGAGAAGAGCCCGCCGGCCTCAACGGTTTCCCCGCCGTCTCCATCGCCGCCGGCCGCCAACGACAGAGGTCGACAGCTTCCAACGCTGCAAACCCTTGGGCGCATGCGCGAGCGGAGGCCGCCGGGAAAAGAACAGCCAACGAAGCAAGCCGGACGACGCACGCGCGCCTCATAGGCTGCAGCGCCCGTCTGTCACCCAACGTCCACGAAGGAGAAGGGTAGAGGGCTTAGCAACGAAGGGGGCGGGGAAAGATTGCAGAAGCGGAGGGAGGCGAAATCCCCGCGCTCTCCAGGAAAAAAGGGGCGTGGCGGAGAAGGGAGAGAAAAGAGGAGCAGCTGCCCCAGGATTGGTTGCTGAAGACGTTCATCTTGAGGCTGGGGCGGGACCGGCTGGCGGCGCGCGCTTTGTCGGTTAGGAGGGTTGAGGCTATTTCGCAGGGAGCGTTTCGCTTACCCGTAGAGAGGGAACGATGGCTGTCGCGGACCCCCAGTCCATGGTAGTCGCCTCCACACGCTCCTATTTCTAATATAAAAACACGGCTATGTTCAACTTGAGTTAATCTGGGTAGAGTGGCTTCGTATACTTCAGAAACTTCAAATTAGTGTGGAAAGAAAGACTGGGGAATTCTGGGAGTTGAAGTCCACACATCTTAAATTAGCTGAGGCATAGAAACATATCCTTAAAGAAAACACTTTATGTTTATTTTCAATCCAAGATAGTCCTCAAATTACAACCATTGGTTTAGTGACCCTTTGACGTTACAATGGCAATGAAAAAAATGACTTAGGACGATTTCAGCTTCCTCATGTTCATTGCAGCTTCCCCAAAATTGGGATGCTTGGCAACTAACTCATATTTATGATGTTTGCCAGAGTTGTGTGATCACCATTTGTGACCTTTTGACAAGCAAGTCAACAGGGAACCCGGATTCACTTAACAAACGTGTTACTAACTTAACAACTGCAGTCACTTAACAACTGTGGCAAGAAAGATTGTAGAACAGGACAAAACTCACTTAACTATCTCGCTTAGTAACATAGGTTTTGGGCTCAGTTATGGTGTAAACCAAGGACTACCTGCTTGAAGAAGATTTTGTTTAGTTGTGTTATATAATATTCTAACTATGAAATCCTAGAATTGGATTTTTAATTATTTAGTGTGATCTAGATCAGACATGTCAAACTTGTGACGTCACCTGATGTCGTGCAACGTATCAGGACAGTTTTGCCATAGCCGGCAATGGGGTGGGCATGGCTTCTGCATGACGCATCTGGCCCATGGGCCAGCAGTTTGACACCCCTGACCTAGATGATTTTGGCTGATCTCAAAAATCTAATAAGGTCAGATCGGATTAATATTTAGATGGGAGACCACCAAGGAATCCTAGATTTAAAAAAAAAACACAAAAGAAAGTAATGTAAACCAACTTTCAAATGGTTGTCCTAAGATCTATGTCAATGGTGGTGAACTTATGGCACACGTGCCAGAGGCGGCAGATCAGGAGCCCGCCCAGCACAAAGGAGGCAAAGCGCCCGACTAACAAGTTTGAGTAGAAGTGGTAGAGCAGAGGTCACCAACCATTGTCGATTGGTGGACTGGAAGAAAAAGGAGGGAAAAGCATTTTAAATGCATGCATGCGTGCACAAAGCCACGAGCACATACGTGCTGCAAATGGGGCGGGGCTAGTGGCTGTATGATACTCACTAGCCGTGCCCGGTTCTTGCTTGGTGCAGCACCTTGTATCTGTACCCCAAGGTGCTGCAGTGGCCGTTTTTGCACCTTGCAGCATGGTGGCCCATTTTGCATCCCCAGTTTTTATATGCCAGAGGTGGCACTCAGAGATGCTTCCCTGCCCCCTCCCCCGAGGGCACCACAATGCTGATGCGGCCCTGGCACTTTGTGATAAATAAATGGGTTTTGGGTTGCGGTTTGGGCACTCGGTCTCTAAAAGGTTCGCCATCACTGATCTATGTGGTGGTTCAGTTTCAATTTAAAATGAATTTAAACATGCTTGGAATAAATACATGTCTGTCATCTGACAAAAATAAAAAAATAATAAAAATTAACAAATTAAAAGGAAAAAAACAAATAAACAAAAAACTCAAAAGGCAGACTCAATGGACTATCTGGTCTTTTTCTGCCATTAGTTTTCTATGTTTCTATGAGGTATCCAGGAATCAAGCTCAATTCGAAACATATTTTACCCAACTTAGTTTTATAGCCAGCTCAAATTTCCAAGTAAAAGAAGATAGTAAATCAATGACGTTGATCAGCATGGTACTTGCAGCTGGTTTGTTGAAATTATTCTCTTACTTTTTATGACAAAAATAAATTTCTGGCAACATTTTATTGAATAGTTTGTACCATTGTACATGATAGATATAGTGAGGATTTCTTTTAAATGCTGTTAGATAGTGGATCCAATCTCTCTGCTTTCATATGTACGTAGTGAGCAGAACCAAAATAACTTTTCAACTTGTCTTTTTTTTTTCATCTCAAGGCTAGAATTCTATACTATGCTCAGGAAAAATATTTCAACCATGTTATTCAAGCAACGAACATTGAACTGTCAAAACATGCTCATGATCCAGTGCTGCTATTTTTCAAGGGTCTTGGAACCTTGTTTCTGGGTAATTAGTAAAAATTATTATTTAAAATAAATTAGTTGTACTGAGTAAACACTGTAGGATTAGAAAATGTTTCTGGAACAGTAATTGGAAATAAATGTGGAACAAGTGTTGTAAACTTTGTGCAGTTTAGAAATGATGATTAATTTACATTCACAATCTGCCATACCTATGCAAATTAGTAATCATAAAGAATTAAGAGATCTCTGAATTAAAACTGAAAATTGAAAAGCTAGAACAAAATCTCCTTGGGTTAAAAAAAGACGTGTGGTAGAACTTGATAGGGCTAAAAAACAGACGTGTGGTAGAACTTGATAGGGCTAAAAAACAGACGTGTGGTAGAACTTGATAGGGCAACTCAGTAAATCAAAATTAGTCTTGAGCAGGTAAGTAGTCTAAAAGATAGCATGAAATCAAAAGATATTGAAATGTCTCAAAGCAATAAAAATAAACTGATTAATACATTAAAAATACACCAATTTCCAAATACCATGAAAAGCAAAATTAGCAAAATAAATGTATCAGATCTATATATTAATAAAACATGAGAAAAGCACAAAAATAAAATATATAATACCAAGGATTGGAAAACAATATTGCATTTCCCTTAGGTCATTTCCACCCAGGCATAAAAATCAAGCCTCTATTTGCAGACCTGATTTTGCATGAATTGCACTGGCCATAGGGTTAGCTTTGCTCTCCAAAGTAATTATGTTTATAGACTTTACAGAATAAGAGTTGGAAGGGACCTTGGAAATCTTCTAATCCAACTCCCTGCTCAATACCATTTCAGACCAGTGGACTGCCCAGTCTCTTCTTAAAAATCTCCAGTAATGAAGCACCCGTAACTTCTGAAGGGAAGCCGTTCAACTGGTTGATTGTTCTGTCAAGAAATTTCTCCTTAGTTCCAGGTTGCTTCTCTCCTTGATTAGTTTCCATCCATGAATTGTAATGATTATAGAATTAGCTTTCCCCTCCAAAGTAACCTTTATGGTAGTTTCCAAGTGAAATATATTAAAAACTAAACTCATTGCTTTGCACCTTTACAGGCCGAATCCAAGAAGGCATCTCACTGCTTGAGAATGCCCAGAAACGACACGTTGATGTTTCCTTATGCTGCCTTCTAGGTCTCATTTATGCTCACAAAAGATGTGAAAATGTTGGTGAGTTATTATCCCACAAATAGTTTAAAATGAAAGCTACAGCATATTTCCAAGAATTGTCTTTCTTCCTTCTCTTCCATTATGATCCCTCTATGATAACACTGAATTATGCAGAGGGAAAATAGCTAAAGTTGGAAAGCCTAGAATGAGGAAAACTTGGCCAAATAAATATTGAGTTTCAGAGAACAAGACGAGACAAGCAGTTATTTTTAAATAATAAACACAAAGAAATTGAAGATAAAGGTCAAATGAAGAATTATTTAAGAACATTACAAAACGAAGCAAATACTTTATGTAAAAAAGTGAAAGAAAAAATAAAGAGTTAATGCAAGAACGCTACAAAAAAAAAATATCTGCACATCAATTATTTATACAATGGTTTGATAAATCAAATGCAAATGAAAAGGAAGCCAAGAGAAGAAACTAGCTAGGTATTGATACAAGAATGAATTTATAGGAACTCAAAAGAAGTTGTTATTAAAAGACAATCTTAATGAAACAGTATCCAGACATAAACAATCACAGCAACTGGACAACAATAACCCAGAATGAGATGGGGTCATTTACTTCAAGCAAATTATCTGTTGAGATACAATGCTAATAATTGCAATAATATTTAATTCTAATCTACACCTATGGCCAGTGTCCCAAGGGTGGCCTCTGTGTGTGTCGATATACCTGCAGGTACTTATTTTGATGCCAGCCAAGCTTCCTGTCATACTTGACCTTTAAGATTTTTCCAATATTTTAAATTTTAAATAAAAATTGAAGGAAAGCAAAGCAATAGTGTTCAGAATGATTTTATTTCCTGAAATGCTTTAGACTCTCCATAAGCAAGAAATAAAAATAGTGAATGAGTTGAAGCTTAGTGCTATGGTTAGATGTATATGTATATGTCTTCCCGCTCAGAAAAATTACAAAGATATGCTGCTTTCTGATTTGTTTTTGAGAGAAAGATCACAATATAGTTACGAAATGGCGAACAGTGTTGGCCTCTGTTCTCGGAATATACTATATTCACAAATATTTGAGCATGTCAACTGTAATATCATAACTGCCTCAATTTTTAACAACTTCAATAGGGTTTGGTTTATATAACATGAAATGCTGCTATGTGAAGAACGTATTAAACAGTATTCATTTGGATTTACTTGACTAAGTACATAAAATATATAAAACTAAACACATAATTGTATAACCTTTTTCACTGTTTAAAAATAATATGATTTCCACAATAGAGTGCTACATGAAAGGAGGCACATTACCGCAATTCTAAGTATTCCAAGACTGATTCTAAGATTTCTCATTCTGTGTT